TTGATTTCATATCTAGCATGACCATTACAAATTCAAATTTAAAATAAACTTGAAATTAATTTTCTTAAGAAAGAAATAATCACCATAATCTAGCTCAAATTGCATATTCAAATGTGATGGCTGAACTTCAAAATATTCTCATCAATAAATGATGGTGGGTCGGTCTAATTTACTAAATTTATTTTTTATTTGTTGGTAAATTTACATACATGCCACACAGTACTCATGCATTTACTCATCAAACACCAGAAGTTTATATTTCCATTCAAAACATTTCATGTAAACATGTATTTTATTTTTTAAAATGTTAGTTGTACATCAAGAATGTGTTGGTGCTGATCTTGAAGAGATCCAGCTGTCTGGAAAAAAGTAAGTATAATAAAGAAGGGCTCACCGGCAATAAGCCAAGAAACCCATTTATCCAATTGGATGTATCCATGCAAGCCAAGGACGAAGACTTACTGAGCTAAGAGAAGGATGATGAAAAAAAAAAAAAAAAACAATCAGAGTCTGAATAGATCAGAAAAGGCAAGATAGATAAGCACCCAAGTTAACCATTATAAGAAAATCGAGCGAAGACACACACTTACATTATTGTAGATTTGACCCGAGGAAAGAGTCTTGTTCCTCGCAATTACCAACAGTCCCATTGATGCTCCCCAGGCTTCTCTTTAGGGACCAGGAATTGGTACTATAATAGAGACATAATCATCTTAAAGCACTCATTCGTCATTGGATTACAGTAATTCAACCTCTGCTTGATAGCCTAGTCCCAATCTATCGATAGGAGCTCCACATCCAAGAATCAAGAGCCGAGTCGAAACCATACTAACCCAGCTAACCGAGTCATAGGATAGCCAAGCAATATGCTCATACATATAAAATACCTAAAATATCCTATACAACCCTCATTAAATAATGACAAAAGTATAATAACACTATATTGTACAATTTCTTCAATAAAAAGAGAGATCATTTTATAGAAGAGGCTAAAAGACGAGACATTTACTGTGACTCTTTACTCTCTCTCATTTCTTATACTCTAATTTTTAGATAATTCATGAATAAATCACGATTTAACATTAATGATTGTGATGTTTTTTATGAGATGTGAAGGATATGAGTCTTATTTAAGCAAGCATGAAAAATTAGGTGCTGAATGTATAAATCTATAAGAATTGTGTGGTATGTTTGTAAGTGCCCCTTTTTTTAGGGCAGTTTTGAAATGAAATTGTAGTACGACCCCCTTCATGTTTTGAGGCTTTCAATGTTGTTGATCCGCAGATGAAGCGCAGAGAAACCATTAAATGTTGCTGATCAAGTAAATGATGAAAAGACATGACCTGATCTTACTAGACAGACTACACCATTTCTTACTTTACCATCACTCTTACGAGGAGTTGAACAAAAATGTATTTCTGATATATATATATATACATATATATATAAAACATGGTGCATAATATTTTGAGTGGCAGAATAATAATTGGACATTTCATAGGCCAATCAATTCTTAAGAATTTACCTATCTAATATCACTAATTTTTATAAAATAAAATATATTTTTTCATGCATAAATAATAAAATGGGAATATATGCAAAAAATTGAAACTTAATTAGGTGTTTACATCTACTATAAGAAAAATGAGAGTTACCATAAATAACATTAATAGATTTTCAAGGCTTTATTTATATCATTATTTATTTATGCCTATTTTTTCATAAATTATTCTAAAAAAATTACAGTATGTTTAATACATTCACAATTTTATTTCATCAAGCACAAATCTTGATGCAATTTTGAGTCGAAAACTTTCATGAGTAAATTTAGGACATTCAAAGACTGATTTTAATTATTTTTTAATCAAAATAAATGTGCCTACACGATAGATCTGATGGGTTTTGAGTTCAAATAAACTCAAATAAACTAAAATTAATTTATATTTTTCGCTCTCTACGAATATCTCCAGAATAAGCATCATATAGTATTTCCACGAAAAGATATGAACACCCCCACCCCCATGCATATGACGTGATGCAATCCAGGTCATTGTTCGCATATCCGACTATCAAAACGTACTATTTTCTTCTTCACCATTATTAATAATATTATTATAAGAGTAGTGTCTATGTCAGCACTCAACTAATCACACACATTGCACAACAAATCAATGATCCAGAAAGGCTTGCTAACATATCAAAACAAAACACATAATATTAATTGAAATACTTCCCAATGGCTGGACGTGTGTCTGGGCATGACTTAATTAAGGAGAGACTAGACCCAACATACGTCTCATGAAATAAGTAAAATAATGTTAAAAATAGTTGTATTTCAATTCCGTTGGCAAGCCGACTTCCACTTATCCTACAACTCTTTAGTCATTTCACAAAGTTGTACTAGAGTCAAGTTTAACATGATTATCTTTTCCCATTGATTCTGTCAAGTCCGTTCTTTTGACTGTGGTTTTGCTGGATAGTAGACGAAGTTAGCGAGAATCTGGTTAGTCCATTTATGCACGTAATTAATTAGATGACGGGGTACCTTAAGAGAGTTATATCTGGATAATGATGATTATAACTGGGGAAAACAATAATCACTATGTCAAAATATTAAAATGATGTTTACGTAATTGCATATAGACAGAAAATAATATCAGAATCAATTATTGTTCTCCCAAACATATTTAAATGCGTTAATATTTTAATTACATATCATTAACATTTAATTATTTTTTATTTTATTATTCACCCACCAAACTTCTCATAATATTTTCATAACATTTTCTTATATATCATGAATATTTAGGATTATATTTCTAGAACAGTCGGGTCAACTTCATTCATCCACCTATATATATATATATATATATTTATAAAATTAAATTATATCTTAATGAACAGGACAGTGGTAAGTGCCCTACCTTCTTTTCATGAAGGTAGAATTAGCTAAATATGTAGTCAAGGGTGCCACGTATGCTAATGTAGATTTTATGTGAATATATATATATATATATATATATATATATAGAGAGAGATCTGGTAAGTGAAGAGCAACGGTCATGTAAATATATAGTTTCCGAAAATTTTGATAAGGTTAGGTTTTTGGTAGGTTGAAGTATGACCTTCTGATTACATCTGTCCAAAACTTGGGTTTCCATTTTATTTGATAGTTACTTCGATATATCTACATTATCTGAGTTATTTGGTTAATTTTATTTGAAGAAGATACACCCTCTATCTCTCTGGTTTGACGTCCACACCATTCTCATTTATATTTGATAGGTCATCAACAAATTCTTGGATTTCATGGCGGGCACAGATCTTGAAATATCTTTTAAATAAAAAAAAAATTTCTAACTGAGAATAAAAATCATCCAGAACTCCGATTCCAGTAAGTTTATAATCAAGTTGACCAGCTCGAGGAGATAGATCCAACGATGCCAAAGTTGGTCAAATTTAAGTCAAATCAAACTCAGATCAGGCCGTTTAGCTACTTCTAGAAGCTTACAATGCCTAATTTAAACGTCAAATATATTCTAAATCTGACACTTATAGTTAAATCTTGCGTTTCGATAAAAATCACTCAATTCTAGCATAAGAAAGACACTCACATGTCCACAGAATAATGTCCGATCGAGGAAATCTCTCCGGGTCATTCGATGAAGTGATCCAGATTCATTCTTTTTGTGCAGAGATGCCTCTCCCATACTCTATAAATAGAACCCTGCTCCTCTCTTGAAAGGGGACCAAGACCTAAATCTAAGCTTGAAGAAGGACCGAGAGAAGGAGTTGAAGCACCGTGTCATTTCTACATTGAAGATCTGGTGAATACTTCCCGTTTTGGAGCTGCCAACCACCTCATTGGTGACCGCCGAAGCTCACCCCCGACTTGTTGTAACAAAACTCAATGCGGATTCAAAGTTAGGATTCAACGTCTTTGGGTGTGATTCAACATGGTCGATCAAACCCTCGTTCACAGTGCTTGTCATTTGTGCATGCTAACATGAATGTATCCATTATTATTCCACGTGGTCTATGCACCAGAAGAAGCATATCAGTTAAGATTTTATAAAGAACATTTAATTTTACTAAAAAAATGATATGTTTTCCGGACATTCCTTTTTTTTTTTCTTTTCTTTTTTAACAATTTCTTGACTTCTGGAACCGAATATTTAACCCTCACAGTGGCTGAAAACATAAACTTAAATGCCTAAATTCCAAATTAAAAAATAAAAAAAATAAAAAAAAAAGGACAGAAGGAATTGGTAGTAGGAATTAAAACTGACCCAACCCAAAATAAATACATATTTAATCTATTTTCTTGCTGCTTGAAGTTAGGTCTGTTCATTAGAAAATTGATTTGAATTTGGTATAGAAATAAATGAAATGAGTTATGAGCTGAAACTTTGGATTTAAATTTTGTTTAAGTCAATATTTCAAGCCATAAAAAGTTATGCTTGAACTCATTTTAAATTATATATTTAATGTAAAGTAAAACTGAATATATTGAATCACGGGCTAATTTCGAGCTAGTTATGAGTTGGTATGAATCCAAACAGCTCAATTTGAGCAAACTAGTATCAATTTCGAGCCGGAATGAGTCATTTTAATTTCAAGCCGACTCGGCTCAAAATTGAATATAAAGAGCATTAAGTCAAGTTCAAACTGCACTAAATCTATTCAACCTAACTCCAGCTCAGCCCGAAACAGAATCCTCAACAGCCCTACTACTACTTCCCTCTCACGGCCTCAAATCTATAGAAAATATAGTGTCTGGATTTCGAACGCAAGCTTTGCCCGAAAAACGGACACAATTTTTTTTCTATTTTTCCCACCGCTTCCTTCGCATCGCGCTTGTTATCTAAAAATTAAGTCAATATTTTTTCCCAAATGTAAGACAAACTGCACGCCTTCTCAAAAAAATATAAATACATTTTATCTATATATATATATATATATATATATATATACATATATATAGAGAGACACACAACTTGGTCAAGCATTCTGTATCGAGAGACTCATCAAACCCAAAGAGCAAAGCGAAGAATTCACCCCGAAAGGAGAACCAAAACAGGACTATCATGAAGCTCTTCATTTTTATTAGTCCTCTTCTCCTTTCATTATCCATTTTAAACCAAGTTCTGGCCATGAACGGTTCAAACCAGACCGGCCCGATGGTCCCGGCGGTCATCGTGTTCGGCGACTCCATCGTCGACACCGGTAACAACAATGACATGGACACCATTATCAAGTGCAACTTTCCTCCCTACGGTATCGATTTCCCCGGCCACTTCCCCACCGGCCGCTTCTGCAATGGCAAGATCCCCTCAGACTACATCGGTAGCTCATGTTTTCTTTCCAAAATCTAATTTTTAATCCAAAAGTTGCAGTTTTTGGCTCAAATGTTCAATCAAAATGAATTTTTTCTTGATGTATGTATAACAGCTTCAATGTTGGGCGTCAAGGAATACTTGCCACCGTATCTAAGCGGTCTCATGCCGGCCGATCTTCTCACCGGCGTTACCTTCGCCTCCGGTGGGTCCGGCTTCGACCCTCTCACCTCAAAATTAGTGGTATATTCTCTCTCTCTCTTTCTCTATCTCTTTCTCTCTCTTCATCTGTGGGACGGTTAAATTAATCATTTTAGTTGATTATGCATAATTGGATTAGTCTGTGATGTCATTGCCGGAGCAGCTGGATATGTTCAGGGAGTACAAGCAGAGGGTGAGGGCGATCGCCGGCGATGAAAGGGCGACGAGGATTCTCGCCGGAAGTATATATGTGGTGTGCGCGGGGAGTGATGACGTGGCCAATACTTACTATACTACACCTTTCAGGAAAAGGGAATACGATGCTCCTTCATACGCTAATCTTCTTCTCCAGTCGGCTCTCAGCTTTGTCGAGGTATATTTATGTTTAATTTCCACTAAAATTATATATATATATATATATATATATATAGTTTTTATTTTTTATTATTTTGTTTTGTATATATTAATTTTGAAACCGAGTAATAATGATTTTAAAGCAATAAAATAAAATTAATGGAGTTAAATATGGGATTGGTTGCATATATTTATTTTATTGATTTATCTTAATTTTATAGTTTAAAAGGTCAAATATATATGCTTTGTGTGCTCCAAAATAATAATAAATTTAGCTTTTATATATTATAACATTTAAAAAAAAATTAATAATTTTAGTAGAGCTATCCTTTTGAGATAATTATAATATTAATTTAAATTGATTTTTTAATATTTATTTTAAAATAAATTTAATTAATTTTAAAATTGTGATCCAGTTATTTCAATTTTTCTTACTTCAACATTTAAATTTAATGTTATTTAAAATAAAATTTAAATAGTACTGTAAATTACTCCTGTTTCCCGAAAGTAGACCTTGATGAAAGAAGGAAAAATTATTACATCAGAGTACTCCAGACATAGAGATACGTGTGGAGTCCAATGAAATTACGTCATAGAGATGATCGGCCCGGTAAAACTACGCGCGAATTTGATGTAATATTTTTTCAACAATTTAGTAGAGATTGACTGAAAATCATTCAATATAAGGGAAACTATATAAAAAATGTCATATAAGTAATTCATTTCTATTAAGTAGGTATATTAATTAGTGAAAATTACATACTTATTATTTCAAAATAATAATTATTAAATGGCATTATAGGATGGATAAATAAACAATGCATAATTGTGCTTATTAGCTTATATATTTATTATGCAGGATTTAGTCAAGGAAGGAGCAGAGAGAATTGGTGTGGTGGGAATACCGCCGGTGGGTTGTGTGCCGGCACAACGAACCCTGGACGGTGGGGTGCAGAGAAATTGTGCTTCGGAGCAGAACCAAATGGCTCAAATTTTCAATACAGCCCTCGCCGGGCAATTGAAAGGGCTAAAATCTAAATACCCCGGAAAGCTTTTGGTATATGTGGAGATATATGATATCCTATATGATATCATTCAACAACCCACTAAGTATGGTAAGCGACCCTCATTTTTACATAAATACCACACAATTCTTATGTAAGTTGAACATTCATATTTATATAGATAAATATATCATGACAGCATGATGTTATGAGTGTAGATATGAAGCTTTAAGTGTTAGATATATGAATACATAAAATTTTGTTGTATGGAGGGTAATTTACATACATACGACCCAATTCATATGTATTTACATATCTAATACCTAAATTTTGTCTTTTTAAATTTATACGACCCAAATCATTCAAATCACAACAAGTGTTGATTTATGAAATAGATAAAATGTTTATGACATAATGGTGTTATAGGTGCAAATGTCAAAGATTTAAATCCTGTCCTCAAACTTCAATAAAACCTTCAAATATAGTCATTATTTTTTCTTATAAAACCTTAAATTCATGCATTGGAATTCATCTTCTTAGGCTATGTATATATACACATAATCTCAAGATTCGATATGAATTTTCAAATGATAAAATTATGCAGGATTTGAGGTCTCAACAAAGGGTTGTTGTGGCACTGGCGATCTTGAAGTCGCAGTGTTATGCAATACCATGACTTCATCAGTATGTGCCGATGTTTCAAAATATGTATTTTGGGATAGCTATCATCCTACTGAGAAGACTTACCAAATCCTTGTATCATGGGTTTATAAGAATTATATTAACTTGTTAATTTGAAACATAGAAAAAAAAATATAACTTGTCATGCAATTTTAATGTTTAGTTGTTTTTGTTGATTTTCTTTTCTTGATTTGCAAGCTCATGCGATCTATAATTTTTTTACCAAGTTATAAAGACATTTTGTATCTAGATTTTGTGGGGTTCCATTAACCTTGAAATTCTGGTTAAATTAGTATGTACAAGCAGGTGTTGGATGCTTGTTAATTAGTTAGCAGAAGGAATATGTGCAGGACTTGAGCATCATTTGCCTCATTATATTCATTTGAGTAATCATTTCTTTCATTTTAGATTCTAATTATAAAATTTTATTTGGTTGTACTTTTATTCATCTTTGCATTTGTTTTATATGTGCAAGCGAGATTGGTTGTATCAATAAAGACCGACTCTTCCTCTCCCCTTCGTTCTTCCTTATCTCCCAAAGCAAATTTTGTGCGTTCTTCTCTGTGTTCTCCAGGAGGAGCACTAAACACATTTATATCCATTGTCTCATCATATCATCATCATCATCTTCTCCTTATTCTTCCTCCACCTCCTTTTGTGTTTCGAACTCTGAGTGATAATGTCTTTGACGGATCTTCAATTCCACATGTGGCATAAATATTCTCTCAATAAAAGGGTTAGGATCACAATTGATTTATGTTTAAGTGACTAAAGTTGGGTGATGATTAGATAACTTGGAGAACTCTCTAGAAATTGAACTATCACGGGGATCATTTATGGGAACCTTTTCTCATGGAAACCCATTCTTGGTAAATATTTTTAATGATAGATATTTAGGAGTTCACACTATATGTTATGTATTTCCCCTTTTCAAAAGGATTTTCTTTATGAGAGTTTGGGCTCCAAGTTTTTTTGCTTTTTATTTTTTTGTTTTTGGAATTTTCTTGGTGACGGATTCTTGGACTCAAAATTTTAGTGTTACACCCTAATATTTACCATGCGGTACTTGGTTGTGCAGTTTTGGATAAATACAACATATAATATGCTCTTTGACAGTGCTTTCTTGACCTCAATCAATAGTAGGCATTCATATTTTTTCGTTATTAGGCACATCTCTTTTACCACTCTGAGCACTTGAAATACTTAATTAGCTGACAGGGTTTTGAGCATCTTCTTTTGAGGAGCCAAAGCTTGGTATTATTGGGCCCAAAAAGATATCTTAAATTTACCAATGAGATTGTTTTGTTTCACTGACAAATTCGTAAACTTGTTAGAGGTAGGGACATTCACCACTAGCTCCATAAATTGTTGCATGTTTATCTATTCAAATAGTAAATGTTGAGTTCTCAATTCAATGCTACATCTACTTTTATACCTCTTAGATAGCATTCATCCTTATGAGAAGATTTAACATTGAGCATTATTGATGCAAAAGGATCCTTATGAGAGTAGGCATTCATCCTTATGAGAAGATTTAACATCCTTATGAGAGATATTAGTTTTGTTATATTTTTATTTTCATTCTCATTTATTTTTCTTAGTCATATTACTTAGTTTCATAAATTTGCTTCAATTAAATCACAATTTTTTTTGGCAACTTCTCTATATGTCCTACCTTAAGAGGCATCTCTAATGATGCTAAATCTACTCACCACATAAAAAAGAGATGTGCTTGGTCATTGTTGAGAGATATAACAATTGGGGTGTACACCTACTGCATCAAAAATGACATAAATGAGTCTTTAAGCACAAGCCTAAGAGAATTATACCGATTTCCTTGTCACGTTAGGTACAACATATTAATTAGGTACTTATATCACACACGCAACTAACTTTTCTGTAGCATCAAGGACATAGTGACATGGGTATTTATATCATTAACATACTAATTCATTTTGTATTATACCATTGTTCTCAATTTGAATTGTTTTTAACAACTGTGTTTTTAACTTCAATATTTACATACATAAACAATTTGTTGCTTTAAACCCACACATGAAAAAATCTATTTGACTTTTGAAAATTAATAATATTGTTATTTTTGATGTGATATTAAAGAATATTGAGTGTTATGTGTATAAATATAAAATTTTTGGTGTGAGATATCTTAATTCATAAGAATTATATGATATGTTCGCAAATGCTCCTTTTTTTTCTTAAGATGAAGGATTTGATTACTTTACATTTTAGGGTTTATTAAGATGACATTGCACGAAGATCCAACACATATACAAATAAAAAAAAAGTAGCAGGAGGAGACACCAAACATTTTAAGTGGAAAAAAGCCTTGAAAGAGAAAAAAAATACTGGACATTTCTTGGTAAAAGTAACTCACTCTGTGTCTGTAAGTACATGGGTTACCATTCTCTTACAACTTGTAATACTTCTTCCAATGATAATTTCTTTTATTTGAACTAAGGATTGAAATTGAATTATGGTGAGTAAGAGTAAGTCTTGGATTGTTACTACCCTGATTATTCCAATTTCCTACAGAGTTGGGTTGATTTTTACCCCATTGCCGGTTTCCTATACCCTGGTTGTTATTATTCCAGTTAAAGATTTGGGTGGCTTTTTCGTCCATGATTATGTATTGAAGTAGGGTTGTTGGCTCTATTGGGTACAACATTCATGGATTCTAAAGTAGTGCTATAAGGATGCATTAGTCGTCCATCGACATTCTCTTATATTGCTAGTAATCTTGTTGTTGGATTTAAACATAATTATCTAACTTTTTTGATATGGAAGAAACTTCTGAAATTAAAATAGCTAGGATTTCTGTGTCATGGACATAATCAAACCTTCTAAGATTCACTCTCTCAACAAGTCATTGAAATTTGTTGTTAGAAATCTCATCAATTTATGAATAAGATTTGGACATAGGAGACCCCTCAACTGCAACATTTATAACAAACCTCAACAATCCTATCAACCTAGTATAAAAAAACTGAATGATAAGTTAGGGAGGGCACAGTGCGGGCACTTCATAAGCAGTTCTTTGATATCTTCAAAACTTCATAAATCTACTCTCCATCTAATTAAGTAAAGAATATAATATCGATCTTAAATTTAGCAGTTTTGAATGGAGAAAAATACTAAACCATAAAATTTTGGGCAAGGTTATTCCAAGTGGTAATTGATCCTGATGCTAAAGAATTTAGTCATATCTTGACTTTTTCCTTAAGTGAGAAAGAGAATAGCCTTAGTCTAATGATATCATTGGAAACACCGTTATACCAAAGAGTGACACACAATTATAAGAAACTAGCTAAGTAAAAGTTAGGGTTGTATGTTGGTAATCCCCAAAACTGATTATTTTGAACTATTTGGATGATAGTTGGTTTGAGTTCAAAGGATAAAGATAAAACACAAACTACAAAAGCTGCTTCATCAAGGGAAATGTGAAACAACAAAAAATGTTATCTCATAGTGATGATAATCTTCATACAGTATTTTGGCAATTCTACATCTTTCTAAACATATGAGTATTTTGGCAAGGCGTAAAGTATTTCTTGATAAAGAAAAAACACCTAATACAAAAGCTGCTTCACTAAACTTGAAGAATAGACAGTTGCCTCCCTCTGTTCATTTCCTCCTCTCGAGCTCCTTCTCCATGTGGGCTAGCGACGTAGAGTTACCAATGGCTTTCACCAAAATTTTTGTGGTAATACAATCTTCAAGGATCTTCTTGCTGCTTGCCATGGTAATCTTCCTGAAACCAGCCAACTAAACAACTCAGTTTCAAATAATGAGGATAATGAAAGTGCCAACCGTGCTCTATTTATGAAGGATCAGAGACAAGAAATCCAAAGAGTTCAAATATTAAAGCATTGAATATGAAAATAAATGAATTTATTTTTTGTATTAAATCTCTTGTTCTTGTTGCATCACGACTTTCAAGAAGCAAGAGAATCAATAAGCTAAATATATATGTAAGAAATGAATCAGTACAAATTCGAAGAAATCCAATAGATTTGGAGGTAAAAGTACGATCAAAGATACCTCATCAAAAGAACAGGAACTACGTCAACAGAAGATCAAAGAATCTCATTGACCAGCTACAACTTCCTTGAAGCAAGACTAAGGGTTAGTCGAATAGTAGTTATCCAACTCAAAGATTGGGACATATCGGTCTGAGAGAAGGAACCAGTATGGCTCTCATCCAAGCATCGCCAGACGCCTCTCAGGAATCACCAAGAATTTTCAGGAAGTCCAAAGTTCTCATCAGTAGGGGTGTAAACAAGTCGAGTCAAGCTCGAGTCACCCTTGGCTTAAGCATGAGCTAAATTAATTTTATTGAGCTCGAGCTTAAGTTTACGAGTTCGAGCCAGCTTGTTTAATATAAAAGAGAGAAAATAATATTAATTTAAACTAGCTTTATAACAAGTTGATAAACATAATGAATAATTAGGAGATAAATAATATGAAATTACCTAAAATACAATAAAAATATTATTTAATATTTTTAATACCTTAAAGATAAAGTTTTGAAAATTAATATATTTTGAGTATTTTATATGTTAACATTTTTTTTAAATGAGCCGGCTCATGATTTAACGAGTCGAGTCAGGGTTGGCATAAGCTTGGCTTGTTAGCTCATCAAGCTTAGTTCACGAGCCACTTATCGAGCCGTTCTTGAGCCGGCTCATGAGTTGTTTTGACTCACTTAGAGCCCTTTCTCTAGATGGATCTCTTATCAAAGGGGGAGACTGCTTGCCGGATTATAGTGATTCACTCTCTGTTTGACAACCTAGTTAACCCCGATAGCTTGAGTTTCCCATGTAAGGTTCAACAATTAACAGTTGGACCGAAACAATTGACCAGCTAATTCAAGGTGATTGAGCAAAATCTAGAAAACCGAAGAATCACTAGAGTCGACTGACTGTCCCAACTTAGAAGAACCAACTGAACATGCCTTGCCGACCTAAGGATTACAAATCTCTGCTGATCGAGCGATTGGATTGTCAGAAACATGTATTTTTCTACTTTTTTTTGCCTAAAATATCATGTAATGCCGCCATAAAAGTTGGGGAAGCCATGTAATTTTCCTCTTTGTGCCCCCTCTATCAAAAAATAGAGAGGTCAT